CGAGTGCTTCGCCCACCTGACGCAGCTGCTGGGGGGCCTGGCCGGGGGGCGGCTGTGCATCGTCCTCGAGGTGAGGGGGGGGGAGCGTGACCCCCCCACCGTCGCCATGGAGACCTCGAGGGGTGGCGAACGAGCGGTGTAGGCAGATTAACACCGGTCGCTCTCGCCGCGATCCATCCCACAGTGGAGTAACGCCATTTTTTACCCACTCAGTAACTGAATTCTATTCTTGCATGTGATGGCAGCAGCAGTATGGTTCAGGATCTAGAGATCAATGTCAAGGTCTGCTGCTGGCCACGACGAGAGGCCTTCAGCAGAGAGAGAGTTCGTGTCGTTTTGCTGCTCTCCCTCCGTTGAAGGAGCGCAGACCACAGTGGTTTACCGTTTGGTCCATCACCCACTACTGTGAGCACTGGGCAGGACCCTCCTGAAAGATTAACAAGGGTCGTGATAACAATAATATTAGTAATCTACCCCATCTGTCCCATTCGGCGACACTTGTGCCTGTGATGACGACGCGTTGCTGAGCTGTGTGAGCACCGCCGCTCGGTCGGCCACGTTGACGCGAAGCCAGACCAACACCCGGTTCTCGTGGCGATCCGTGGCGGCCCCGCGACCTTCACCTTTGTGGACGATCCACTGTGGACGATTTGACCATACCTCAGCGCGCCGGTCAGCGTGGTTTGGTGCAGGCGGGTAGCGTGCGAGCGGAGTAGAATTTGGTGCACTGCTCCTCCCGACACCACTGCGTGGCACACGCACGCGGGTATGACCCGATCGCCCGGAACCAGCGCCGGATCTCGCCGGATCTGGGACGCTAAGCGGCAGGGTCGATAGTGTGCAGCACCTGGATGGGCAACCACGGGCTGCTGCAGGGGGCTACGTGATCCCCCCGCACCCCCCCCCCCCCCTCACGCACCCACGCAGCCTCTTGTGCCGCGCCGATCTCTCGCGCCGTGTGCCATCGCGCAGGGCGGCTACAACCTGTGCTCGCTGGCCGAGTCGATGTGCTTCACAGTACAGACGCTGCTGGGGGACCCGGTGCCCCCGCTCTCCGGCCGCATGGCCCCCCATGTCAGGTGATCGCACGGGCCCTGCACACACCCACCCCCGCCGCCCTCAGCCGTGAAGCGCAGACGCGGGGAGATTTGGAATTCCGCGCTGCGGAGACGTCGCCCGGCGGTTGGGTGTTCGCCACTCGTTGCGGAGGTTCGCGGTTTCGAATGATGCGGCGGCGACCGCCCTGGTTAATGCTGCGGTGTGCATCAACCGCAACGATACCACGCACCGTCTGCTTCACTCACAGCGGACGTCAAAGATCCTGTGACGTCAATCGCAAGAGTAGGCCATTACGCGCCGGCGTCAGGGTCCAAATATTAAAATGACATCGCACTTAGCAATCATTGCCCCGATACGCACGCTACGCACGCAACACACTCAGCACGGGCACGTACATGCGGAGAGAATTGCGCATGCACAGGATTGTTTTCTGTGTAATTTGTGTTGAATGGGATTGTTGCATCCGGTCGCGTTCAACGGGATTGAGCTGCACAAGGTTGTGCATGTGGGATCATGCTGCGTAGTATGGTGTTTAATCTAGTTTCGAGCGATCGTGTTGCATGGGATTGTGTTCGCGTTGTCTGCTCTATCGCACGATGGGTTGCGAGCAGCGCCATGGAGAGTGTGCACAACCTGGTGACCTCACATGCGCCGCACTGGGGCTGCTTCCGGCTCCACGCAGGTATTGCCGCGCTCGTCTGCACCTGGTCCGCATCTCGCGCAGAGGGCAGCGCGAACCCTGCCGCTGCCTTGACGACCTTCGCACCGCCGATCCCTGTGCGCCTTCGTAGATCCGCCGGAACTGGCCGCCGCATTCGGGGCGGACTCTGGGGATCTGCCCTGGCACCACCAGCCCGACCTCGCCGATCCCTCCGTGGGCCTCACCGCTGCCATCGGGACGCCAAACTTCAATAGGCTGATGCGCGATCACGTGACCGGCCTCCGTGTGACCGTGACGCCAATCCGGACGGCCGTGTCGGGTTTCCCAGAAGGCAGCGATGGCGCAGCAGAGGTGGCTGGATGTGCGACGGTGCAGCCGAAACGTCTCTCGGCCGAGCAGTTGTCGGCTCTGTTGAGGTACGGGGCGGTAAGGCGGCGTCCGTAAGTTTTGGTAGAGGTTCGCGGTTCGAATCTGGCAGGCCGCCTTGGTTAATCCTGCGTGGTGTATTAACTATATCACGCTACGCCGCACCATCTGGTTCACAGCGGACATTAATGGTCCAGTGGCGTCGTTCGAAAAGAGTGGACCAACAACATTTGAAAAATTACCACCGCAAGTTAGTTAGCGCAAAACACGTTGCAGGACCGAGAGTTGATGTGAGAGCTGGGCGGGGACTGTCGCGCGGCAGGGACATTCTTACCCCCACCCACCCCCCACTGCTGGTGCTGTGTGGCGCGGCTCGCAGCGCTTACGACTATTGGGTTTTTGCGCACGAGGTGTCGGAAAAGTTACCAGAGGGGGAGACCTGGTTCATGGTGGCCAGGCGTCGAGAGCGACGTTTGATTTTGTTTGATTTTGTTTGTTGCGGTGCGGACGCTCGCACAGGGGAGCCTCCCCGGAGTCGGCGGGCGAGGGGGCGGCCGCACAAGTCTGCGGCCTCCTGGACCAGGTGCTGCGGGGACAGGTACGGTAATCGCGACCGTCACTCACGACCTCCCACACACACCGTTGACGGCGGAAGATCGCGACCTCAGTGCGTGCGTCCCATGCCTACGCCGATCCTGTTGCCCCCCGCTCGGCCGCGCAGGTCCGAAACGGGGCGGCCCGCGTGCCCACGAGCCAGGGCCTGCTCGTCTGCGCCAGCAACTACGCCCGCCAGCTGGGAGCCAAGCGGTGAGCGGTGCCGCCTCACTGTTGAGGTAGCCAGGGAGCACACGATGGAGCCGTCATGGCTCGGCGAGTGGTTTGCTGATGGAGACGGCGCGTGCGTGCCTGTGTGCGTGCCTGTGTGCGTGCCTGTGTGCGTGCCTGTGTGCGTGCCTGTGTGCGTGTCTGTGTGCGTGCCTGTGTGCGTGCCTGTGTGCGTGCCTGTGTGTGTGTCTGTGTGCATGCCTGCGTGCGTGCTTGCGAGCGTGCCTGCCTGTGAGCGTGCCTGTGAGCGTGCCTGTGTGCGTGCCTGCGTGCGTGCAGGACCCTGCTGCTGTCCATTGGAGCGGAAGTTCCAGCCAGCGTTTCAGATGACGGGTGAGAATAGGCAGCCGGCCGCTGACTGCAATGTTCAGCTGATGTGGGTCTTGTGGTTAGGCATTGTCTATAAGTAGCCAATGTCTACTCGAGGTGGTCACCCATCCGAGCATTGTCCGAGCTCAATCCTGCTTAACTTTTGAGAAGTGACGAGATGAGGCGCGATGTGGGTGGGGGATTTGCTCCGTGGAGCCGTTGGGCTGCTGCTGCTGCTGCTGCGGAGCTACGACGTGGATAACAGAGGGCAGTGCATCAACGTCCAATCGCGGAGGACAAATCAGGGCGATGGTGACAATGCCGCTGTTGGGCAGGGACGTGCTGGTGCTGGACGTGCAGGGCGCCGCGGCAGAGCCGGGGGAACCGGCACGGAGCGGCGAGCGCCACCTCGTCATCAGCTGGCCCGAGGTGAGAGACGCCGGCTCCCGTCCACGTTAACCGCTTGATAACGGCCACACGAGCGCGACGTTCCGGCGTCTGAACAGCGCCCGACTTGCGCCTGTGCTGCCCGTAGCCCGGTGAGGGCGAGCTGCTGTGGACACTGCTGCACCTGCTCCTGCCCATGGCCTACGAGTTCCGCCCGGACCTCCTGCTGCTCGTCTTGGGCGATGCCTCTGACCGTTGCCAAGCGACGGCTCGGATGATGGGTCATGTGACCCTCCTGCTGCAGGCCCTGGCTGCAGGGCGCGTGGTCGCGCTGGTGACGGTGAGTGGGTGATTGGAGTTTCATTTACTGGGGAACCAAAACACGAGTGGTGTCGTGTGCGTGGTGCGGCGTGGCCGCGTGTTGGGATTATGCTGGTACATGGAAGTGTTAGGGTTTGGGGCACAGTGCGTGGCACTGTGTGGCGTGGCACTGTGTGGCGTGGCGGAATGCGGTGGGGTGTGATGTGGTGTGATGTGTGTTGGGTACGTTCCAAGGGTGTGGTGTGGCTGTGTGATGTGGTGTAGTTGGTTTGGTGGGGTGCAGCCCGTGGTGGCAGAGGGTAGCACGGTGTGGCGCGACGAGCCGTGCTTTGCACCGCATCTCCTGCGTGCAGGAGGCCGGTGACCCCTCGTGCTCCACGCTGGGCAGCGTCGTACGATCGCTGCAGGGTCGCCCACCCTCTCCGCCGACACCGGGCGTCCGGCTGTCGCCGCCGCCCACTCCCGCCAACCTGCAGCACCTGCGTGGCGCCGTGCGGGCGCAGGGCGAGTGCTGGGCGATGCTGCGCAGTTGGGGCAGCGGCGGCGGCGGCAGCGCCAAAAAGCAGCTTCCCTGAGGTTGTGCGGTCGCCCACGCAGGAAAGAGGGTTGGCGAGCCATGGGTGGAAGACGACCCTTGAACTCTTAACTGCAAAAAAATGAAGTTCTCCAAACACAGCGTCCGCACGTGCACCCTCCAAATTGAAAAATTCACTTGGTCATGCGACTGAGTGGAAGGAATCTCGTAACTGTCGAAGTTGTGTGCGTGCGTGCCGGCGTGCATACACCAGCGCAACCAGTGTGTGCACTGTGTACGTGAGCGCATGTGGTTGCATGTTTGCGAGGATGAGTGTTCAGACTGCGCGAGTGTGCGTGTACTGTGAGAATGTGTGCGAGGCTGCAGGCGATGTTCTTTGGCCTCCCGCACTCGGCATCTTATTGGCAAAAGGGGGCTGTTGCCGCTGTGTGGGCGCGAATGTGGGAGTGCGAAGGTGTACAATAGCCGCACGTGAGCGAGTGCTGTGAACGATTGGTCTCCAATCCAAACATTCTCGCAGTGCGCTGTGGACATTCCTTTAAAGCCAACTGTTTATTTTCATTACAGAACATATACACTCTTGCGATCGTCTTTGCATTTTTCAACAAAGCATCCTGAACATTTGGCACAACGGTGCTCGTGTGTAGTGGTACGGTTTTAAATGTTATCGCTCAGTTTTTGCGCAAAACCGCTGTGCCAAGCAAGCGTTGCTGCGAAGTCGAGGGATGCACTTGGCCTCAATGTCTATCACGCCACGAGGGGGGAGGAGGAACGGACACTGCATGCAGCATGCAACGCGCTCTGTTTGGCACGGAGTCGTGCAGCGCTGGGACTCTATGTACATAAACAGGAAGTGAAAATACCGCATCCTCAGGGGAATCCCATTCCCCATGAGGCCCACGCGGGAGTTGTGGCGCTCGTCACCGTCGCTCTGAAGCACAGTGCCGCAGCCAAACGGGAACCCTAACCCTCAGTCGCCTTTACTCCCCCATGCATGGCTACCGTCCCACCCAGTCGGCCCGTAAACCCCAAACACATTTGGCCTGCGGCAGTATTTTTCAAGACCGTTTTGGCACAGCCAACGCACTCCGCACGGTGGGCGAGCAGCTCACTTCGCGTGCAGGTGCCAATCCTTCCCAAATAAAAATCGCTTTGCGCAGGGCGGCGCAGACACCTCCTGCACAGGGAACGCGGCTGGGCGCCAGGGGGTCTTCGTGCTGGGGGGGGGGGGGGGGTAACAACGGCGGCCGCCGTCGACACAGCTGCAGCTCAAAGAGTGGCGCAAGCCGTGAGGTTTTGGCCTCGACGACATCGGTTAGACGTTCGCACGGCTCTGCGTCGGCGACAGGCGTGAGGGACGCTCGCCGTTCGCCTGGCAGCGGGACGTGCGGCGCGTTACACGCACGTGCGGGAACATGACGCAGCACTAGGGGCGGAGGGCGTGATGATATATTTTTTTTTTTTTACAGAGGGTTTTGTTACCGGCCAAGGTCAGTTGGTCTGAACACTGACCGGCCCGGTACGAAACGAAAGTGCACACAGCTCAAAATACTTTTAGGCGAACGTACCCCAACGGTACCGAGCGCAGGGGGGGTTTGTTGACACCGTCCGTCTGAATCGATGCTGCCCGCTCACTCACCAAGCAGCACGAGGAGCCGCGGCGCTCGCACCACCTCACTGCCCCCACGAGCCTGGAGTAGATACGACACTCGTCGGCACCACCCGAGGTAGCACAGCTTTAGCGGTTCCAAGTTTTCCATGCAGCCAATACTGGTGAATAATGCGCTAGCCGTTTGAAATGAGTGGGGGTTATCAAGTTGTTATCAAGTTGTTCACGCTATCTGGCCCACGTGAATAAAGCCGTCCGACTTGAGGGTTCTGCTACCTTGGCCGGTACCGGTTTCTGCTGTGGCCCATGGACTACAGCGAACTTTACACTGCCCCACAGCCAGAAGGGAGACCCTGGCCCGGTGCCCCTGAGACGACTGCTAGGAATGCACGGTGGAAGGTTGGGGGGGGGGGTGTGGGCGCTCCCCTACAGCCGTGAGAATCCCAGGATATGTTTTAATTAGTTTTTCTGCGGTGGAGGCTTCTGCTGAGTGGGAATGCAGTGGGGTGACTACACAGACGCTGCTAAGAAGGATTTGGTTATTTCAAAGGGAGGTTCCTCGATGAGGAGCGATGGCACTGCCGATGTGAAGAAGCTGCGATTAGTGTGGATTGGAGCGGAGGGAGGAGGGGGAGGTGTGCAAGACCCGGCTGACCTTGCACGAGCGCAATCTGGCAGCAACGCTCGTTGGGCTCGTGACGACGCGTCGGCGCACCTCGGCGCACACCAAACCCAACCGTTTCCTCTGCCCTCCGGCTGCCACGCGTGCGTCACCGCTCCCGCGCGCGTTAGGCGCTCTCGCCGAAGGCGGGAAACTCGGTGCAGATCTGGCACACGATGTCGCGGTCCATGCGGCAGTGCTGGTCGCCCTCCCCGCCCTCCTCGGCGGCGATGCGGCGGAAGCAGGCGCGCAGGTCTCCGCCGCGGTGCGAGTGCTGCACGTAGTCGGTGCTGCGCATGATGGCCAGCATCAGCGACAGGTACTCCATGCGCATCTGCAGCCGACACGTGCACAAGCAGCGGGTCAAGTACGGCCGACGTGCTCAAAATGCACAGCGGTTGTGGAACAGTCGACAAGCACGGTCGACAGTCATCCAGTAGTCAACGAGCACTGCCTATGCAATCAACACGCGGTCAAGCCTGCAGTCGACGCAGTGGATGTAGTGGAAACAGCCATCTCATGCTCGGACAACACACACAGACAACACAACTGTCATGCTGAGTTGAGGCAACAGCTGACACGAGGTGAAATGCACACACAGCTGACTTGTTCAGCCAACCGCACATGATAAAACGCGAACCGCCGACATGCATAGTGTACACACGATGCTCGGCTAACAATACATCCAGAAGGCGCAACTGATAACACGCGACCGTCGCACAGCTGAACGTTGCCTTTAGGCATCGCACTGTTGCAACAGCACACGCAACATCGCTACGGTAACCCAAACGACTGCAACTCGCTCAGGCCGGAGTCTGCGGCCCAAGCTTTGCACTCGTGGAGCCTATGCGAATCGCTGCCAGGTAAGCTTTGCTAAGTGTTCTCCGTGCTCAGGGCCCTGGGATAGAAATGTAAACACCGGGGCGGTTTTGCGTGAGCGACCTCTGCACTACGCTGTGCGTTGGCCCCGCGCAATCACGACGCGGGCGCCACGTGCAACCCGCGATCGCGACGTGCACTACGCCGCTAGCACGAGGATTCTCCCGACGGGGGATCGGGCGCTAGCGGACCTTGTCGCCAGCGGAGAGGTCGGAGAGCTGGCGCACGATGATGTCGATCATGACGAGCATGTCCGTGTGGTAGAAGATGGCGGCCGTCTCGCGCTCGCAGAACATGTCCTGCAGGAACTTGAGCACCGAGTGCGGCGGTCGCGGCGCGTGCTCAAACATGTCCACCGGGTCCTCTGCGGCAGCCGGAGGGGAGAGGGGGGAGGGATGGAGGGGAGGAAGTAGAGGGAGGGAGGGTACGGCATTGTTAGTTTGATATTAGTCAACTGCACCTGTGGAATTTGTCATCTCTTAGTCAAGTTAACCCTTTCATAGCCGACCCCGGCTATTCTCTGGACCAAGCGACCATGCCCCCCCCTCCTGCTGTGGTATTATTTATTGCACGCGATTGAACGTGGGCTGTTTGCGGCCACACACACCCACCGTGAGTCGCTGCTGCCATCGAGTGGCAACGACAATGAATAAAAACACTGCACATACGGGAGGACCAGGGTTATGCCCATCCCGCCCCCCCCCCCCCACAATTAGGAAATTCTTTACCAGAAACCAAACTCGCCAAGTGTTACAGAATTAATTAAAACAACGGCTGCAGGGTTGGCGTGCGGTTGGAAAACGGGCAGCCGATGAAACGCACAGGCCTCGCGAGAACCTTCCAGGCCGTCGTGTGTGATGCTCAACACTAAAGGCGTAACACTGACGACAACGCCGCCACCGCCTGGTGCCGCGTGGCCGTGGCGGCACGGTGGCACAGAGGTGCTGACGGGCGAGCGTTACCTCCTCTGTTGAGCAGCAGAAGCAGCTTCTCGCTGAAGGTCTTGATGTTCAGCCTTCGCGCCAGGGTCTCCATGATGACGTTGCTGGAGGGAACTGGGGAGGGAGTTAGGGGGGGGGGGGTGGCGGCAGGAAGGTGAAGCACGCCCACGTTTTACTACGGCATCGCACTCGGATGCTCCGGTCGCGTGGAGACAAGCGAGAAGCCAGCAGCTGGTTGCATAAAACACCTTGATCGAGTTTTCAGGGACTGCGGGGAAATTGCACTGGGGCCCCGCACCTCCGATTAGCACGGATGACTACGTACGGTGCGAAAGAAGTTCAACATACATACTGTACATACACACGCCCAACCACAGCGGACGGACGTCCAGAATGTTCACAAGTCACACCCCCAGTGTCAGTCAGAGCCCAAGCGGCTCTGGGGGCCTCGATGTTTTGTCTTCAGCAAACCAAGCGCTTGACAAACAACAACGCAAGCAGGGTCCCAACGGCCCAACCTTTCGTGGTCAATCCTTTCTCCCAGCCGTCCACGCCGGAACCCTTTTTCCTCTTTGAAAGACCGGCCGGCTGCCTTGAAAAAACAAAAACACGCCCACCGCGTTTGCATGGCGCCTCGAGCCGCGGCCACGTTTAGATGCCCCCTGATAAATTGGCATTAGTCCCCCCTGCCCCCCGCCAGCTAGGTCCTCGTGGACGGAGAACGTGAAAATGTAGCAGTGGCGACAATAACACAAGAGCGACCCTGATGGGTGGGCTGAGGCGTGTCGCTCGGGACGTGACTTTAATCCGCACCGACTTCACGTGGAAACGCGGTGGGCGTGAAGCCGTTACCCTGGAAGTGCAGGTTGAACGCCAGCAGCAGGTTGACCATGAGGTCGGGGAGCTGGTCGCTCGTGTCGGACGGCAGCCCGTTCTCCGTCACGTCCAGCACGAAGCCCATGAAGCTCTCGTTCAGGTGATCTGCATCCACGTGCACGCACACGCAGGCGCACGCACGCACGCACGGATCCATTTTGCGTTTCAGAATGCGGTACAGAACATTTTTTACTCCTACGGTTCCATCTGTATGCATGGGTTTTCTCAGGGTGCGCAGTTTTTTTTACCCACATGCAAACACTAATTGGCCGATAACACCTTAATGTATAGAGGACCACAGAGCTTGGGGGGAAATTGATGCAGGCTCACTGCGTGGCTGCCTTTCCCACTCCTCTGTGGTTCGCCCCCACGCCTCCGAGTCGGTCTCTCTTCACGCCTCTGAGCGAGTGAGTCCCGTGCAGTGGCACGGTACAAGCTGACGTGATTATTATTGCTAGGTCTGTCCCAGTCGGCAACCCGGAAAATTATTTCTACACCCGGCACACGACATCCAGTATACATGTCGCTATGTTTGTGGCTTACTACTAGTCACGTGCCACCTCCTGGGCCTGCACCGGTCAAGACAAGCAGCTGGGAAATTATGGCCGGCACGCATGCAGTGGATAACGTGCGCGCGTGGGGGTCACGGTGCCGCCGCCACCGCCGCTGCCACCACCAGCCCCTCGCTGGGTTCGGGTGCCACACCGGACAGGCGCCATGAACCCGGGGGCGAGAGCCTCGTCTTTCCGGCATTCCATCTTCCCGTAGTGTGGCGGTAGGGACGATTACAAACGCTCAACGTGAGCCGGTGCTTACGTGAACGCTTTTCGCTGTCGCTTCACTTTCGCAATTAACAACTTGCTCTCTGTCCAATTCGCCCCGGAATGAGCGAAGAGGCGCGCTTGCAATGTTTGTTATCGGGATCTAAAGTTAGAAAAGAAAAATAACCATCGGTGCGAAAATCACAGCTTCCACGCTGCACCCACGCACCGTAGTGATGGTACGGCAGCGGCTCCCCCATGCTGAACACCATGGTGAGCAGCAGCGTGGAGTAGCACAGCTTCTGGTGCTCTGCGGCACAACGGATACAGCGCAGCGCACGACAGTCGTTAATAATTATGCACGCGGCCCCGGCACGCAAGGGGGCGTGCGGGGCGGAGACTCTTCTGTCTCGCAGGAGCCGCTACCCCGGAGTGCGGCGGCACGTCGCCTTGGCAATGTCGCCATGGCAACCCCCTCGGGGGACGCTCTGGTCGCTAACGTTCGGGGATTGGGAAGGGGGGGGGGGGTGTTTAACACGACTGCGTTTAACGAAGATGTGGAAAAGCACCAACCCAGGAGGCCACTCGGCTCGCGTGAGTCACGGCGCGCGCCCGTGCCGATTTGTGGCGGCGCCCCACGCCACAAGCAGCTCGGCTCACGTGTGCGCAGCACGCCCCCGCCCCACCACGGGCCTGCGTCTGCCGCAAAAGAGCTACGGCAACGTGCATGCCAAGAGCGGCCAAGCGGCAGGGCTAACCAGCAGAGCCTGGGGCTAGGGTCAGAGGCGAGGATAGTGATAGGGTCGGTCAAATGGTGTGGTTATGGGTTGGGATAAGGCTCGAGGGTCTAGAGTGATAAGAGGTAAGATTAGGGTCCGGTTGGGTCGTTTGTAGAGGTTCGGAATGCGGCTAGGATCTGATCGGCGAGTGTAATTAATATGGGGGTAGTGTTACGGTCAGGTTGGCTACTGTGGTAAGGGATGGGAGTAAGGCTAGTGTCTTGTTGGGTAGTTTGATGAGAATTTAGAGAGAGGCTGGTATATTTTTGGGTTTACGAGTCAGGCTTGGTGGTCTGATTAGCTCGTGTGGTTGGGGATAGGAGTAGGGCTCAGGCCTGGCTGGTTTTATGTGCTCTGCCCCCCTTCCCAATCATCGTCAAATCTGGGTTTTTCTGCTCTTCGAACGCTTTTCACACGAGCCGTTCCCGGCGCTACGTGGCCACCCACGCCATGGCCGGCCATGCCCGCTGACCTTTGGTGTCGGTCTGCATGTCGCGCGCCAGCTCCATGGGCAGCACGGAGTTGAGCAGCGCCGAGATGATGTTGGCGTCGAGGCTGCACATAGCGCCAAACACCTTGAGCAGCAGCAGCCGCAGCGACACGCGGTGCTCCTGGGCACGGGTCACAGGGTCACGGGGAACGGCTCAGCGGGGTCATGAAATGCACTCATTGCCTTCTGCAGCAGTAGTGGTGGTGGCGACGATAGCGACGGTGGTACGGTGACGCATGGGCACGCACGGGACAATATGTTTTGACCACATGTACAGAGTATTTTCTTGGTTGCTGGCACACTGAGAGATATACTGGATGTGGTGTGCCGGGTGACACTGATATACGGAGTTGGCCAATGGTACTACCCTCCATGTTGTGGGACGTAACGTTTCCAGAAATTAAAATATAATTGCAGTGATTGTGGCATTTTGTACCATGTCTGTTATATTGTGTACTGATATATTATAGTAGGGAGCGGTGGGACAGTGGTTAGCACGCTGATCTTCAAATCCAGCGACCGGAGTTTAATTCCCGCTCAAGACCAGTAAGTGGCAATTTTTTTTACCGTACTGGGCCTTCCCTAGGTCGACTCAGCCTTAAAAATCACTTTGTTCGGTGTGCAAGCATCAGCACTGGGGATACAAAGGCGGCTGGGCGGGTTTTAGGCCATGGATCCCCTCGTGTGCTGTCCCAGCCTTCATAGGTACTCATTAATAGCACTTCCTCCAACCGTTTGTTGAAGGCTACACGGGGATCTTTGTCTTGGTCAATGTTTTATATGTTATTTTTCTCTGCTTATTAGTACTGCATGTTTATTTAATGACATCACTGGTCCAAGGTTAACAGGTTGCAGATGAAGACCTGCGTTGTGAATTGTGCATTGTGACGAACACGGCGATGTCAAAGAAGACGATGGTTGTAATGACGACGACGATGGTGTATCACTGACATGCTATCACGAACATTGACAAAGTCACGGCGAGTCTCATTTAACTCTCATGTGACTTAAATTAATATACACACAATAATAATGTGTAGTTTTATATATAGTATTGTCGTTTACCATTCAAATTGCATCTCTCACAATCGCCGAAGAGCCACGGACGAACAGGAAGGCAGAAGCCAGGCGGTGAACCGATGCTACCAACAATTACCCAAGCTCTGTGATCCTCAATATATTCAGATGTTTTCAGCCAATTGACTGAACATTAATGATGATAATATGGTTATCGGGATTTAATCGACATTTTTTTTGTATTGCCGTGTTCGACTTGAGGCTCCCTTGAAAAGAAGATGACTCAACGGGCTCTCACCCAAACATTAAAGTACGTTAACGAATCCGTGACGACGCCAATGACGGCGGTGACGAATACTCTGACCGGTGCAGCCCCACGGCCACCCCTCCGCACCACCGCTCACCACCACGCACCATCTGGTAGTAGCTGACGAGCGACAGCACCGGCTCACAGTCATCCCTCTTGCACATGCGGCGGCTCACGTCCGGGTTGGCGTCCGTCTGCAGGGCGCACGGCAAAAACCGTGTGAGCGTAGCCACAACTTCCAGGGATAACCACGGCGTGGCCTCCACCCGACGCCAACGGCTCGGTGGGAGCCACGCCGGAACCGCTCGGGTGGGGCGCTCGCCACGGTTCACGGTACCTGGCAACGCTCTCCGAAGGGGACACTCTCATAACCGTGAGGTCCAGAGCTAGGATATCCGCTCGTTCACGCAATCGATTAACTCCACAGTTTATCGGTTCCACTACTGCCCTCATGTGGGTGCCCTTAGCCAACCCGGCGCTCGCCTGTAATGTGCACAGAGGGCACGAGGGCCGCACGGGTGGAGGCAGGTAGACGGGCCTGGCATCGGAGTGGCACCCGGAGTTCGGAGGCTAAGAGGCAGACCCAAAGCCAGGGTGGATTTTGAAAGCGGGCGCTGAATTTGCGACTATGGGATCTGGCAGAAGAAAAAGGAGTGAGGGTTACGTATCGTGCCATCGCTGGCATTGGCCACTGACCTCTCCGTGAGAGTTACAAGACAAATTGCTTTGTTGCACACGGGGAGCCTTTCATCCGTTAATGAGGTCACATCCCGGGGTCAATTGTTGATTCTGCCAGGGGTTAAACCCAGGAGGCCACAAGGTTGGCAGCTCAGCAGCCCTTCACAGAGGCATCCAGATCCCTGGTCTGTGGGCGAGTGAGAGTGCTCAATCGATCGAGAGCGAGCGAGCAAGCGAGCGAGCGAGCGTGCGAGACCAGGATGGAGAGCAGCTCCTGCAGGTAGCTCGAGATCACGGCCTCGTCCTCGTGGAGAGCCCAGCTGCGCTGCTGGGCGTCGTCCTTGTGCCGCGCAAGGTCCGTGAAGATCACGTTGAGCCGAGTCACGTCCTGACACTCCAGCCCCTCCGGCAGCTCCTGCAGGTCCTGGGTGGCCGGTGGGGGGGCGGGGGGTGAAGGGAGTACTGCATTCTAGCCGTGTTCACAGATGCCACCGCTGTCGCGGATGCGGCCGCTCTGCGGGTTTCATGATTGCTCGGGTCGCGTCTATCAACGTGCGAGTGTCTTGCACGTTGCGTGTAGACGCACGCGGTGCACGCTGTATGTGCCACGACGTGTTGGCTGCGGGATGTTACCTCTCGAGGGAGCTTCGACTGTTAATTGCCGAGACTGTGTCTGTGCATAAACCGCATTCCCCACGACGCAGCCTAATGGGTAATCGCTGCGTATGCCCAGTCACAAATTCGAAGACATCCCACTTGCACAAACAAAACACTTACGGGTCCTTATTCCATTTCCCTGTATCCTAAATCCATGAAAATAAAATAATTATAGATAAATATTTGTTCTGGTCTTCAGTGACATGTTTTTTTGGATTATATAATCTCCGTATAGATAATTTATTTCCCATACTTATTACACTTGAATAATACATCACTGATTTGAGCAAAACATCAGAGCGGCAAAGTGGCAGCGGAGCGGTTAAGAGAGGAGGAATCACGGCAAACGTCCAACCATCTCATGGAGCGCACGCAGCGACAGGCTGTTAATCATAAGTGGCAGGCAGAGTGTGGAGTCTGAGACGCAGAGCGCGTGAGAAACCGCCTCGACGGGGTGTGAGAAGAGAAGAGAGGCCTGAACCTCGCCTCCATCCTAGGGATGCAAACAGCGCAGCCTCGCCAAGGCGCTCGGACAAGGCACGGCGTTAGAACGTGGCTTGGATTAGAATACGGCATTTATTGGGACACTGCACCCGTTAGAACACTGCACCGTTAGAACACTGCACGCGTTAGAACACTGCACGCGTTAGAACACTACACGTGTTAAAACACTGCACGCGTTAGAACACTGCACCCGTTAGAACACTGCACCCGTTAGAACACTGCACCCGTTAGAACACTGCACCCGTTAGAACACTGCACGCGTTAGAACACTACACGTGTTAAAACACTGCACGCGTTAGAACACTGCACCCGTTAGAACATTGCACGCGTTAAAACACTGCACGCGTTAGAACACTACACGTGTTAAAACACTGCACGCGTTAGAACACTGCACCCGTTAGAACATTGCACGCGTTAGAACACTGCACGCGTGAGCACACTGCATGCGTTAAAACACTGCACGCGTGAGCACACTGCACGCGTTAGGGCACTACAGGTGTTGGGATACTGCACACACCACACCGCAATTGTTGCGACACTGCACACGTTAGGACACCAGACACACGTTAGGACACTACTGCTGTTGGGGTATTGCACACATGAGCACACCGCACGTGTTGGGACACTGCATATGTTAGGACACCAGACACACGTTAGGACACTACAGCTGTTGGGGTATTGCACACATGAGCACACCGCACGTGTTGGGACACTGCATATGTTAGGACACTACAGGCATTGGGACACTGCACACATTAAGCACACCGCACGGGTTAGGAGACTGCACGCATTAGGATACTACAGGCATTGGGACACCGCACACATTAGTTGGGAGAGGGCAGGAACAGCAGAGATAACGGTTGAGGGGCTTACCGCCTCGCTGGGCGCCTTCTCCTCCTCTTCCTCCTCCGCCTACAAAACCAAAGCCGTGGTGTGGTAGCTCAGCGTGAACGACACCACACCCATCCCATCGTCGGCCTTGACCTCACTCGTCCCCATCAGTCAGTTGGTCAGTTTATTCCGGACAAGGCCCACTGAGCTGAGGGGGCCTGTTTTTCGATAGCGATCGGGCCAAAGGAGCCACCATCGTCAAGCCTCGTGCTGGCGTCGTTGGCGTGCGCGGCTGTAGAGGGGGTCACCTTGGCTTTTCAATTTGTTATTTTTAAACTTACATCACAGCGTGTATTTAGAGGACTTCCGAAAATCCGTTGCACTCGCAGAATTTAATATCTCACGAAAAAGCTGCGAAACAGTCTCAAGGTGCGACCAACGATAAAAGCCTTCACCGCGTTGCCATTCGGCGAGAATCTGTTTCCTCTACGAAGGGCGCGGGGCTCAGGGACAGATGGCTGCCAACCCCCAGCATCGAATTAATTGGCTTGAAGATGTGCGAGGTGTCAAGGCTCTAACCGGAATAAAAAGCAGGGTTTAAAGTCAGCTTCTGAGCCGCCACGGCCGGCTATGCGAGCGTAATCTCGGTCATGTTTAAATCCAACATCGTCACGAACCCTGCACAAGGCGACCCGGCCCAACTGCTGAATTGGTGAATAATCGAGCGCGTCATGGTCACACAGAAGTGGAACTGCACAGCGGTGGAGAAAGGAGGGCCCAGCGCGTCTTGACGTACGACGTCCAGATGTCGGGAAAAGGGCCTCTCCCCTACCGTGCTCTACACCCTCCACTCCTCATCCCTCAGCCTTCACCTCCAACTCCCTCACCTTTGACCCTGGGGGCCCTGCCTCTCCCATCCCCTTGCCTCCATCCAATTTCACCTTTGTCCCTGCCACTCCCTACTTCCTGTTCCCCCATCCACCACCCCTCCTTCCTCAGCCCCTCATCTCGTGCCGCCCACCCCGAGCCTCCCAAGCCCCACTCTGACCCCCCACCTGCTGTGTGAGCAGCGACAGGAGGATGTCCTCCATGATGTCGGCGGTGTCGGGCAGCGTGTCGCGGATGTGCCCGACCACGGTGCCGATGGCGACGCGCGACAGCTCGTAGCTCAGCCCCGTGTTGCGCCGCACCAGCTCCGTCAGCTCCACGCCCATGGTGCGGGGAACCGCGCCGGTGCTGCCTCCTCCTCCGCCGCCGCCGTCCTCCGCTGCCGGCGAGGGGGGCGACACGGAGCTCAGCCGTGCCCGACCGTTATTCGACGGCGCCACGGAGGGCTCCGCCCGCTCCGGCGACCGCCGCCCTACCTGCGCTCGTGCTACCTCCTGCGATGGCGGGGAGGACGGGGGGGGGGATCTCAACGGCGGCTCGCTCGCGCCGTTGACCGACGTGTCACCGCGTACGGGCGGGGAGGCTGCGGGCGTCGTCTGACCGGGGGACTCCACGCGGCGGCGCAGCGGGGATCCGGCGCCGCTGGTGGCCTGTGCCGGGAAGGCGGGGCGCTGGGCCTGAGAGCCTCCGGGGCGGTGAGCGGGGGAACCGTGGCAGCGTGCGGGGGAGTCGGTGAAGCGCACGGGGGAGTCGGCGCAGCGCACGGGGGAGTCGGAGCAGCGCACGGGGGAACCGCACGACCGGACCGGCGAATCCAAGCGGTCAAAGAGCGACTCCGAACGCTTAAGCGGCGAGTCGAGGCGCCGGAGCAGCGCGTCTCTCCGTCTCAACGGGGACTCGGCGCCGTTCGCCGCCGCCACCTCCGGCGTTGCGCGCTGAGCGAGCGGCGAACCGGGGCCCAGCCGCTCCACCGTGGCGTCGCCACCTCTGCCACCGCCCGCAGGGCCCACGGCCGCGTCCATGTTTTCCGGCGTGGGCTCGGGAGCGGCGGCACCGGCGGTACCGGCGGTGCCACCACCGTCATCGTCGTCGTCGTCGTCGCCACACGAGTTCTCGTCCGACCGGCTGTCGGCCGGCACCTTCTCGTTGCCATCGCGAGACGAGTTCGACCCGGTAGAGTGGCCGGACGCGTCGGAGCTGTCGCTCTCGGCCGCCTTGTAGCTCTGCACATCCTTGGCGTGCACGCGCGGGAAGTCCCTGCCGGCTATTTCGCTGAACAGCGTGCCGTTGTGGCGCTGCGACGCCCGCTCCGGTTCCCGCCGCGGGGAGGCGGCGACGGTGGCAGTGGCGGCGGCGCCGTCGTCATCGTCGGAAGGGAGAGAGAAGGAGCGGTCACGAGAGCGAGCACGAGAGGCGGGGGCACCGGCCGTGGAGGCGGCGAAGATCGAGGGGAAGAAGCCGGAGGCATTGCGTGTGGAGGGGGGGGCGATGGACGAGCCAGCGAGGGAGCTGCCCTGTGTGTCGTCGCAGGCTGAAGGGCCGGGGGTTTAGTGGGCGGCGAGGAAGGCGAGGAGATTCGTGGGGGGCAGGATGGACAGGAAAGGGAGAGACAAGGGAGGCGGGATTGTCAGAGGGAGAAAAGAAGGGGCAGAGACAGGTCGGGGAGAGACAGGAAAACAGGAGTCAACGGAGGACTACGTCGAAAGTCATGGCAGGAGGGAGGGGGCAATTAGAGAGGATCGTCCATCCCAGGAGGAGCAGAGGAGCCTGGGGGAGGATTCGGGGAACACGCGGAACGCGGAGGCGGTGTTGGTAAGAAGGGTGCGGCCAGGGCAAGCGCTGGGGTCGCTGGCGCCTGCAGCTAGTCAGAGAGGGACTGGGCTGGGTTAGTGGCACTTCGACTGCAGACGCCGGAGAGACCTAGCACACCACCAAGCTCACGCACACACATGCACCCCACACACAAAGGTGTACACAAAGACACATACACAAGCGGAGAGCCAAGGAGCATCAGGGTTCCAGTGAGGAGGCAGGCGCGGCAGGGATAAGCGGTTGCACAGTTGCACGAGGGAGTGGTGGGGAGTGGTCACATAAGGGAGTGTTTGTTAAGGACTGCGTGCCAACAGACACGCCCAGGGGCCCAGCTTCACGTCACTCGGCTTTGGAGACATCTGGTAATGTTTAAAAATGAAGCAGCAAAGAGCCATGCTCACCCGCAACTGAGCTACAATCCAAGTCATTCATTCCATCCAAAGCTGCAATTAAAACGTCGGTCCGACGGAAGCGAGCCGTCTGGCTATGCCGTGGCCCAGGAGAAGGGGTTGGCGAGGGGGTGAGAGGGTGGTGAGTGGGTGAGAGGCGAGGGGGGGAGCTGAAAGTGGGAGTGGAGCCACGCGCATTCCAGGTGGCGACATTAATTGCTTCCGTGCGGCCGAACCACCCCCATCCCCCCGGCACCCGGCCCAGCCAGCGAGCCCCCCCACGACGAACCGCACGCCGAAGGCCGTAATGCGCTCCCTCGCCAGTTCTACATCCCTCGCACCGCCCCCCCCCCACTCCTCTTTCTAATTCAACAACCGAACGATCTCGGTTGTCGGAGCTCGTTGCGATGCACCGCCGCCACGCGGGCTCATGGTACCCAAACAAGCAAGCGCGGAGAATCGTCGCGCTCCGGCGTCAGCGTCGCAGTTATTGCCGTTACGGGGGAAGGCGCTCGCCCGGAGCAAAGCCTCGCCAGCCGTCAGCGGTAGCAGTGTCGTTACCTGCCCTTTTCCGGCGCTCGGGCGACAGCAGCTTCTGAACTAACTGCGTGAAGTTTGGCGGGTTCCAGTGCGGCCGCCTCCCGGTGGAGCTCGAGACTCCCGCGCCGGCGGCGGTCACCCGTGCCGGCAGCGGAGGCGGCGGGGCCTCGCGCGTCTCCAGCCCCGCCAGCAAACCCGCCGGCCCGCGGTGGGCGCCGTTTCCTGCGCTCGCCACGCCCGGGAAGAGCCGCGAGTTGTCACGCCGCGCCTCTGAAGGTGCCGGCGGCGGTCTGGGCGAGTCCCGCTGCGACGCCAGCGAGAGAGGCAGTCCGGAAGGTGCCGCACGGGCGGAGGAGGAGGATGAGGGGGGGGAAGAGGAGGAGGAATCGCCGAAGGCCGAGAGCGTGGGCCAAATGTCCCCCACCGGTGGCGAGGCCGCCGCGTTCCGCGCCGGGACCGGGCGCGGTTCCGTCGGCGCTTCCGGGATAGCCGGGCCGCCCTGGAGCGACTCGGAGTTTCTGAGCGGTGGCGACGGAAGGCGCCGCTCTACGGCCTCGCCGCCCACCGAGAACGAGACCACGGCGTGAGCGCCGGCCGATGGCCGCTCGGGCCCGGTACCGCCACCGCCGCTCCCCCCCGCGGTCCACCGAGAACCGTCGCTAAGCGCGGGCGCCAACGCGGGCGCCACCCGTTCTCCTCTGCCCCTAGCCACCTCGTCCGCAGCGTCCCTCGAGATGACGTCACTGCTCGAGCAAATGGATGCGGTGGCACAGGGAGATGGGGCGGGCGATGCGGATGAGGCAGCGGATGAGCGGGAGGGGCTGGGGGGAGGGGCGGGCGCGGGATGCGATTTCTGGGATTTTCGAGCCACTCCACCTGCCGGCGGAAAAACAAAACGGGCGGGGGGTGTGGGGGGTCAATGGTGACCGCAGCAGAGCCACAGGACAACAAGGCTTATACAACCAACGCGAATCCAGAACCGCAGCAACTCCACCATTCGATTGGGAACTCCACCTCCCACTTCACTCTCCCCTTCCACTGAGACCTCTACCTCCCACTTCACTCTCCCCTTCCACTGAGACCTCCCACTTCACTCTCCCCTTCCACTGAGACCTCCACCTCCCACTTCACTCTCCCCTTCCACTGATGCCTCCACCTCCCACTTCACTCTCCCCTTCCACTGAGACCTCCCACTTCACTCTCCCCTTCCACTGAGACCTCCACCTCCCACTTCACTCTCCCCTTCCACTGAGACCTCCACCTCCCACTTCACTCTCCCCTTCCACTGAGACCTCCACCTCCCACTTCACTCTCCCCTTCCACTGATGCCTCCACCTCCCACTTCACTCTCCCCTTCCACTGAGACCTCCACCTCCCACTTCACTCTCCCCTTCCACTGATGCCTCCACCTCCCACTTCACTCTCCCCCTTCCACTGATGCCTCCACCTCCCACTTCACTCTCCCCTTCCACTGATGCCTCCACCTCCCACTTCACTCTCCCCTTCCACTGAGACCTCCACCTCCCACTTCACTCTCCCCTTCCACTGAGACCTCCACCTCCCACTTCACTCTCCCCTTCCACTGAGACCTCCACCTCCCACTTCACTCTCCCCTTCCACTGAGACCTCTAACTCCGCGTTGTCCGCCAGTGCACTGGAAGAATTCAATAATAAAAATTCAATAATAAAAAACACGGTGACAACGGATGAAGAGAATCCTGAAGATTGGGCATTCATCTGAGAATCTGTCACGTGGTCTCGTCAACCAAACTGCCGTACAGAACACATCGATAAGCAATGCCAGTAATGACTTACCAATTAAATGTCAAAATAAATAATACTGATTTATCTCACACTAACGAGCGTCTGGCTTTTATCGTGGTTGTGATGGTGCCTCGTTAAAATTCCTCCACTCGGTGTGCGTGCGTGTTTCCACGAACTCTAAACACCCCAATTGTCACACCCCAGCGTGGAGCAGCTCCCTGGTGTGAGCGGGGGGCTGGATGGGGGGTGGGGGGAGCAGGGCAGCAGCGAGCACCTAATTCAAATTCAGCGCCCTCTGTAGATAATAAGAAAGGCCATCAACACAATAGGACAACGCTGCAGACTGGGAACAAAAACAAAAGAGCTACATGGAGAGGCAGCGCTGCTCGCAGACACCAGGGACGCGAGCACAAGTCCTATCCACGCGCCCCTGAGTGCGCGGCAGGTGCCCACCCCGACCGGTCAGCGATGCTCTCAGCCTTGGCCAGGCCACCAGCTCGAAAGAGAGAGCCGGACAGTTATTATTAATATTCACAGCACCAACGCAAACGAGCTGAACGCGCGGCCATCCGCTGCAGGAATCAGCGAAACGTAGAGACGACTGCTTCTGTCCTCATGATGCACTCATTAGTCCAGCAGAGGCACCACCACCATAGCGGCTGCTGTTGCCATCACTACCACTACTATCGCCGCTGCTCCTGCTGCAACTGCTGGAGTCGAAGGTATGCACTCCCCCCCCCCACTCCCACTCGGCTGATGGTGCTGCGGCGACAGTCATCGCGAGTTCTCCTGCCCGCGACGTGGCCGGCACCTGGCGGAGAAGGCCTCACCGTTCTGATTGGTGTCCGTGAGCTTCTCGAGCGGGTAGCTGCGCGTCTTCTCGGGCTGGGCCGGGACGACCGGGGCCGCGCGGCGTGGCTGGGGCGGCACCTGCGCGTGAGATTTCCGCGGGGAAGAGAGAAGAGAGAGAGAGAGGTGGCGCGCAGGGGTCAGCGAACGGCAGAGAAGGGGGGTGGTGACGCAGAGACAGGCAGCAAGAGAGGGACAAGCGTTGATGGAGAAGTTATAAGGTGGCCGTTTGAGCAAGCTTGGACATGCCCTCGGTGCCCTTGCGCCAGGGATGATGATTGCCGCGAGCAACGCAGTCGTGGCCACGTACATCGGTAAGGGATCGCAACGCTGTGCATTCAACGCTCGCCGAGAATTCACTCCGCCCTTTATCCCTTCGCCATAGGAATGTGAAATTTCCACCAATGGGTCAGGCCGCAAACAGGCGGCGATGAGCACTGCCCCATGGCTCATTTGGGAAGGAAGCCACTCTGACTTGTTTTAACGAAGGTTCTCTACACGAGCCTCTCGAGTCATCTCGGGGCCAGGTTGCCCCGCCACCTCTTCCTCCACTGCTGTCGCCCACGTGACAGCACCACGCGGCATGACGCTGCGATGCACCGCACAGCTGCTGCCATGCGGCTGCACCGTTGCGTCGGCGGCGCAGATGAGAAGGCGACCCGCGAATCCCCAATCAGCAGCACGCGTCTACCAAACGGGCGTCCCTTCACTCTCACTCGCGTGACCTCCGCCCTCAGAGTTGCTTGAGCGACGACCAATTAAGGGGAGAGGCGCTCCGAGCCTCGTTCCATACAGGGTCTTTAATCGCGGATTAAGAGGAACGTGAACAGAAGCGCGACCCCTCGTTACGCGGGGACCCCACCCCCCCACCCCGCCGAGCCCCCTTCTCACCTGGTAGGGGCTGAGTTCGTCGTCCTCCAGGGACCCGGCGGCGGAGGGGGTCCCTGGGCCTGCCCCGCCGCCCCCGCTGTCGGAGCCCCGTGCGCTCCCTCGCTCGGCCAGCTTGTGCTCGCTCGACGCCGGGGTCAGGATGGTCGGCCGCTGGGACGCGCGGGCCTGGCCCTGCTTGGCGAGCGTCTCCTTGCGGTGGTGGATCAGCTTCCTGCGGGGGGGGGGGGGTGGGGGGGGTGGTGGGAGGGCGACACGGCGCAGACAGAATCGCCCCGGGGGCTTCGTGTCAGCCGCCGCGAGGGCCCTGATAGACAACGTAGTGTCGTGCGGAAGAAGCGTCAAGTCAGCGCAGCGCATCCACACGTACTCGCGCTGCTTCCAGGTCACGCTCAATGGGTGAGGACAGCAAACCGCGCACTAGTGCAATCTGTGTCAAACACACGCATGCACGCAATCAACAATTATCTCACATTCGGTGAACAAAGCACACCGAGAAGCTTAACTTCAGTCGGTTCTTGTCCAGGTCGGCAAAACAGAAAAATATCTGCGCACCCAGAAAATCGCATCCACTATAAACCTCCATCTCTCTCTCTACGGCTGTGGCTGTAGTTGCTACTGGTCATGTGCCATCTACGCCAGCCAATTAGTGACTGAGAAAATAATGACCAAGAAAATAATGAGTGAGAAATTAAGCCCCAATTAACCTGCGCATTTTTATTTAATGGCGTGCGTGTGTGGAGCGTGGTGCGATCACAAGCGTATGGCATGTGGCATGCATTCATGATCGACTGGGTGCAAATGTATGCATGTGTGTGTGTTGGGGCGCTGTCTGCATGTGTGTGTGTGTTGGGGCGCTGTGTGCATGAGTGTACGAGCAAGCGGGTGTGCGCGTGTGAGCAGTGCTCGTTGCGTAGTGCAGTGTTCGCTGCTTACGTGAGCGGGCAGCTATGTGTTAATGTGCGCGAGCAAGCGGATGATGTGCGTGCGTGAGCGAGTGCATATTGCGTGCATCTGTGCAAGGGTGTGTGTTCACGCGCACCAGTGAGCGGTGGGCTTGCTGCATGCGTGCGAGCGAGCAAGTGGCCAATCATGTTTGTGTGTCATTGCACGAGTGGGCATGTAGACACACATGCATGAGTGTACGTGTGTGTGCGCGTACACACAATGCAGCAACTCTCACAACAACAAGCAGAGCGCTGGGCGGCTAAAATTGAGTAAGTGGCACAATGAGAATCACACATGGTGCATATGTCAGTTATCTCAGTCAGCCAACCCATTGAACCTGGGTCTGTCCTGGGACCTCCGGCCAGCAGTGAGCCTTCCAAGCTTCACGTGATGGCCTCAAAAGCGCACCTAGCCTGGCACAAACGCTGTGTTTACGTCACTATCACTTTGTGGAAAATGGTGGCTGTTGTTGTTGCTGCATGTAAGTGTGAGTGGGTAAGCGTGTGTTTGAGCAAACGTAGATGCACGCGCGCCTTTATGGGTGAGCATTGGGAGCGATGGCGCACTGGTTAGCTCACTGTGATACGAACCCGGCGAACCGAGTTCCATTCCCGCTCACAGCCAACATCAGTGATATTTCAACTGGTCCTGAGCCTCCCCTAGGTCGACTTGGCCTTTAATGAGTACCTCGTGTGGTCTGTAAACATCCGCATTGAGGAGACAATGGAGGCTGGGCGTGGTGATGGCCACACTCCCCGTCTCGGGTGTCATGTCGTCCTTCACAGGTGTTCGCTAACAGCACTTGGCCCAACAGTCCGTTAACAGCTATACGGAGCACGTTTGTCTTTGTGTGCGTGGGTGTGAGTTGGTGCGTGAGAGTTAGTGAGTGCGCGGTACTCACTGCAGCACCTCCCTCTGCTCGAGCGTGTACTTCCCGCTGTGCTCCATGGCAATGTTGTGGATCGCCTCGATGGCGCGGTCAATGGACAGGATGACCGCATCCTTGTTCTCGGTCTGAAGGGGGAGGGGGCACACGGTGGGGCTGCTCACGTCAATCACGCACGCTGGGCACAGTGCAGTATTAATCAGGTCGCCCTCTGGATTCGAACCGTGAACCCCTTTACAACAAGCGGCGAGCGTGTTACCGCTGGGCCGCGTCACCGCCCAGGGTAGAGCGTGGACAGTGGTTGGATGGGCGACCACCGTGGATGATAACAGGTGTTACAGGCTACGGAGCTTCCCTGTTTGAAAGTGGAAGGCAGTGCAGAAACATTTTCCATCTTCCTGTACTTCTGCACTCCCACCTCTTAACGCAACCTTCATCAAACCGCACTGACCAGCATGGTGACGTCAAGGTCAAATACCCCCCACATCCAGAAGTCGATTGGCAAAGAGCCGACGGTCCATGCACAGAAAAGTACCGAACCATAAGAACGCAGAATTATGCCGCGATCCTCATGTGAGCAGGGACAGAATTTCCATCAGACACTCGACTCCGCTCTAGTCGTCGTCCCACTCCAAGCAGATTTTTACTCCTGTCACGGAAAATTCATTTTAAAGGTAGCCGTCGTGGCTGAACCGATGAGCGTTCACGACCACGTCGCAGTGTGCCTGGCTGGTCACGGTGGACACGGCGCACCCGTGTGCGGAACACCGCTAAATTAAGATGACCTATTGGAAAATCAAACGGAGCCGTCCTGGTTTTTTGCCGTGCGTCCGCATGGATTTTCATTCGCGTCGCAAAAAAAAAACGCAAAGAGAATTGGAAACGACAGAGAGGAACAATACAGCGATGCACTCCAATTTAAATTGGCAAAACAAAAATGCAATGCCTGCTCGAGCAAACGTTCGTACCGAGGGGACGCGTGTGCGCGTTGTGTGTCCATGTGTCTCAAGGTAGGAAAGGTAAACCGGCGTTGGTGGCTCAGGTTGTGGAGTGAGCGGATCCCAATCGGAAGGTTGCGAGAGTCCTAATCGTAGTTGGGGGTTGACTCAGCTCATCATCCCTCCACGGTCTATAAAACGGCGACCGCTTTGTAGGAAAGTCAACATTGTTTGTTCTATGGATAGGCTCGCCCACAACAAAGGAATGTGGAATTTCCACCACTGGCACTGCAGCGCCGTGAATAGGAGATGAGCACCGATGCCTCAACATTCATTTGAGCAGGAATTCACTTTATTCCAATAAGGTTCTCTACATAAAGTCCAAATGTTTTGTGGAGTCTTAATAATAACATCCCCCTTTACCAGAGGGCCTTGCTGTACAACACTGTGATTTACTGTTCCGCCGCAGTGCAGCTGCACTTTGAGCAACACTCCACGCCTTCACACTGTACAGGAGATTAACGCAATGAGTCTCTGCAAGGAATCTGGATTTCTGTCTTCGGTTAGACGACCTGAAAAAAAAAGGGAATAATAACTCTTTCCTGCTGAGCTCCCAAAATCAATTTAAATGGCCAAGACCAGTGCTGCTCAAACTCCATTCCTCATGCCGAGATCCACTCCATTCCACCTTTTCATTTTCGCAAATCCTTATCCACCATTCAAATGTAAATTAAATCGTCACAAACTGCACACGCATGAAAACTGATAAACCAGGCCTGGGGTTAGCCTTGACGAACGGAGTTCCAAAACTCCAGTCCTTCAAGAATGTGTAAAGCCCTTCATCAATTCACTGTGGGATTAAAGTCTACCAACGACCTATCAGCTATGCAGTTTGTTTGACCACTGGTCAAGGAGAGATATCACTCACCACTGATGTTAGCCATGGCCAAGATTTGAACACAGGTAGCCGGGTTCAAAGCGCAATGTGATAACCACTGTGTCACTGTGCTCCCCCATAATACTGTAACGTCCTCTATATTTTCACTAACGCCTTACCGAGTCAACTGTTGACAGTTATATATTGTATAGCCGTCACTGAAAATGTATTTTACTGGCCGAGCAATCGCAAACAAAGAGGTGCCAAGCTCAGCTCTTTGTCCTTATTGCCTAATGGACTGTTCTGTAAGGGAAGCCCCACACATCATTGCATTTCCTCAAGCCAGCTGTGTCATCCACAGAACAGCCAACATTTGGCAACCTATTTTCCAGTTAAAAATAGATGCAGCAGGAATCAACCGGTAAGACGAAGCACAGGTCCCCGATTTGACTCAAGGTGAAATCACAGCGATGGGAATTCATCACCGCTCGCTCACTCGCTCGCACGATTCGCTGCCGCGCGGCAGTTATGCGATCACGCAGCAGCGGTGGCGGCAGTGGGTTTTGCGCACGAAGAACACCGCTCGCAATGAGCCAAACGGAGGGCGCAGAATGCAGCAATAATAGGTATAGGCTTGTTTAGACACAACCTCCCGACCCCCCCCTATTCCTGCACCCTCCCGCGGGCAATTCCATTACGCTGATGAAACCCGGTGTAGGGGGGTGGGGGGCCGCACGTGGAGTTATGTCACACGTTCTACGCAGTTGTTTTTTTGTCCCGGGGTCGAATTACAGTGACAGTCCAAGCCCCCCCCCGCCACCACCCACCACCACCCCGCGGCACCCCCCAACAAACCCCCCCACGCTGGCCCTGCAAATCGGCCAATCAATGACCGCTACAACCATTCCGAACGTCGGCGAGAGCAGTGTTTATCGACGCCACCAGCACGAACAAGAAAACCTCGCAGGTCGCGCTCACTCACGCGCAGGGACAGCGCGGGAGGTTTCAGTTTCCCCGCTCCTATTTAGCACCCAGATTTATTGTCCTTGGAAGAAGAGTCTGGTGATTTTTTTCCACTTGTGCCGAAGAGCTCGCCGAGGGGTTGTATGCTTTGTATTTTGCCCGCCCAAAATAAAGGGCAGGGTTAGAGCAGGGAAAGAGGTTTCTGCTGCGGCCATTCCTGGTGCTCTCGCACCCCCTGCCCCAACCACTGCAGAGGCATGCAGCGTGGAGTAATAAAAGAGGCAGAGTCTTGGGCCACGCGCAGAGCCAGAGACGCAGGGTGCCTGGGACATTCAGAGAGCCGTAAATCCTCACCGCTCGTTAAAGCGGAGGCCGCAGAGCCGGGGACTGACAGCAAATTCAATAAGAAGAGTCGCAGCACTTTACCAAAAATAACAGAAGGACAGCGCCAACCCCCGGGGCCCCGTGGAGCCGTGGCACGATGGAGGCACAGGAACGCAAAACCCAGGGTGGCCTCTCTGACACCAGATCCCCTCCCTCCATCCCTGCGGCTCTCTGTGGCCGGGTGAGCGTCAAGGCCAATTGAGATTCCATACTCCGTGAAGTCCGCCGTAAATATGCGCGGCACTGCAGACCCGCTCGCGCGTTTGTTTTTACTCCTTAATATTCAATTCGCTCTGCGGAAAAAAATATAACAGTGCTCACCATGTCGAGCGGCTTTGGTGCTCAATTAAGAAATTATGCTTTCTTTCAAATGCTAATTGCCCAGGGTTGGTACAGCAATGAATGCATTAGAGCAGCTGTGATGCATAACAGGATAACCTCAAAGCACTGGCTCCCCAGAGGCGCTAGGCCGTTTTGAATGAGCGGTGCCTGTATGTACATGTTTGGCACGAGTGAGCCGTGCAAGACCTGTTTACACGCCATGCTAGATTGGTACGCTGCTGTATATTTAAAGAGGGTGACAGCCCGACGTGATGGGTGACGTCTTCTCCAATGGAGATCTGGGCAGACAGTAAGGACTCAACTCGAACAGCCCTGTCTCCGTCGGATTGTCTGCCTCATTCATACCGTCCGTCCTGTCTGTACCAATCACCTCGCTCGGGCTTTGCGTCTTGTCTTCATGCTATCCGCATGGAACCTGGGGTCAATCACCATTGTGATTGTTGTGTGGTTCGTAATGAATGTCAATCACAATGTAAATGTAATGGTAATTTCAGCCATCAATGCTGCTGTAATTGTAATTATAACCGACTTCAGGTCTGGCCCACACTCTCAACTGTACTCACTGCACTGTCCACCTCACCCAGGCTGTCCTGTCTGAGCTCTCTGTCCTGTCTCATCTGTGCCACGCATCGCCCTCCTCCGGGAGCCACCCCTTGTTGAAGAGCGTCGCACGGAATCGTCGCGTCCCACGCACCCTCCCGGCTACCGACGCCGTAAATCTGCACCGACAGCGGCTGCACCTGCGCCCTCACGAGTGCCGCGCGACGCAGCGGCCCTCACCGCTCCGTCGACCGTGGCTCACTTCTCTACCCGAGCGCTCTGCCATGTGATGCCCTGCCCGCGATGATGCGCAAAGATTAGTTTACTCGAAACACATTAATTCTGACATTTAAATTTTTTTTATTATTATTATTGAAGAGTTGTGGGTCTTCTTCTTTGGTTCTTTCGGTAAAGTCACGTAGAATGAAAATAAAATAATAAATTAATAAAATAACACAATAAAATTCTCACGACGTTTCGACCACAACACAAGTGGCCTTCATCAGGTGAAGGGACGAGACTGTCTGGAGGACAAGATGCTCCAGCGCTGTCCCCCAGACAGTCTCGTCCCATCACCTGATGAAGTCCAGTTGTGTTGTGGCCGAAACGTCGTGAGAATTTTATTGTGTTATTTCATTATTTTATTATTTTATTCTCATTCTACGTGACTTTACCGAAAGAACCAAAGAAGATGAATCCTTGCAGTCACGAAAGCTTTAAATCGAAAGTTGTGGGTCTATTACTAAATACCTGGTTACCGTGAAATTCATCTTCTTTGGTTCTTTCGGTAAAGTCACGTAGAATGAGAACAAAATAATAAAATAAAATAAGACAATTAAATTCTCACGACGTTTCGGCCACAACATAAGTAGCCTTCATCAGGTGAAAGAACAGAACTGTCGTGACGACAGTGCTTCAATGAGCGTTGCTAAGACTCGTAGTGTCTTTGAAGCTCGGTGAGAGGCGTGAAACGTCTTGACAAAGGAGTTTACGTATCAAAGCAGGAGAATTTAGCATTGAAATAGCTGAGGCATGAACTTGTGACAGAAATAGCTATGTTAAAGTCAAAGTTTACCTATCAACA